AATTTATAATTCTTTGCGAATAAATATATATATATATACTTAAGAACTTTAAGGCAAATAAATGTATTAATTTATGAAAATGTATTTCCAACATTATATTTAATATCGACTATTTAAGATTCGTAATATTTAAAGGCAAAAAAAGAAAAATATTTATGTTTATTTAGAAATTGTAAAAGAAATATTTTTTTTATAAATAAAAATAAATTCATAGAAAAAAAAACTACAATATTCTAAGAATGAATTCGGACATAGTCTAATGAATCTTGCACGCAAACTAGAGGACAGTTTTACCTTCTACGTTATTATTCGTGATTTTATTCGTAAAACTCAGCAAGTTGTCGTGAATATATTACTTGACATAATTCTTTTAAAAAGATAAATAATTGTAAAAAAACTACTGCAACTCGTTTCAAGTAAAATTTCAACCTGCATAAAGTGAAAATTTAACGTTACTTTGAAGTCTTTAAAGTTGCGCCAGCAGATTATAACATTTAAATAATCAAGAAAATATCTTCAAAATGCTTAGCTTCTCTGGGTAATTATAAATAATTTCCAATAAAAAACAGATAATTAAATTTTATGATTAAAGATGTAAAACTAACAAATATTGATCAACAAATTTAATAACAGACTCTGACAAAACTTATTAAAGTATGTAAGTTTTATATTATAATATAAATAAAAATAATCAAGAAATATCTATAAAATTAATGGAGTAAATAATAAATCGAATGCGCTACAATATTATTATTTGTCGCAATTGTGTCATATAATCATTATTAGCCTTTAAATAATGAAGCTTGAATATTTTACAGCGTTATTATTAATGTATAAAATGTAGTCTAGATCTTTTTTCTCTCTTTATACCTGTTCTTCTTGCGTAATAACGTGGGAAAAATATCCACAAAAATTTGCATCTCCTTGTCCTATCGTACATTGGAGATTCTTGACATCTTCAATTATTATATCTGTATCTTACATTTTTTGTTGCAAAATTTTCTACGTATTAAATATAGTATTTTAAGAATTAATACAATTTTACATTATCAGTATTACTACATATAAACTAAAGAAGTTATATTCTATTGGATTTTATTTTAAAAAATTTTGCGTATTTACATTATATAATATGCGTATTTGCATTATATTATTTTAATGTTGGTTGTAGAGAAAATGTTCTGGTTTAGGACATTGTGTATGAATATTGCAATAATAGTTTATGCATCTGTTTATTAAATTTTCCTAAACAAATTTAACAGTTTACACTACAATAAATATAACTACAAACTTAAACCAAGAGAAACTCTCGACTCTGATGTCAAAGTTCTAGGTCTAGGACATGGGTGAATATTTCATGTGTATTACATAGAAAAATAAATCAATATGTTAAAAAGTTTTATAAAAATTGTACATACTACTAATAATGGAATATTTTATACAAATTCACAATATTATTATAAAACATTACTTTTTAAAGAACTGCATTTATATGACACATTTACTTATTAATTGATATTAATTGATTATTAATTGATATTACACATTTTTCGATTCCTGTAGGACATTACAAAAACA